GACCAAGAGGCATAATGGTAGGGATATAAACTTGAACTACCCTCGCCTCTACGGCGTATCTTTATGAAACCTACTGCTCTTTTACCTATGACGGCAAAATAATGGTAAGAAGAATGAGATTACCGAAAGGAAGAAAAGGGTCCGCTAGGTCTTCTAGCTCAGCTCACTCTGCACCACGATATTGTCTCCATAGCCCTGATATGGTAACACTCAACAGGCAACACCACGATCATCCCTCCCCAAGACCATATAAAGTGTGGTTACTATTACAACGAAATCCATGATTTTTATTCAAATGCCTGTAACTTCATTAAGCTTTTGTGCACAGGTTTTCCACACATAAGCGAATACCGGGTCCAAAATCCTCCAATCTCTCCATTCCATAGTGGTATCTTCGGCTTCGGTTTAGTTTCCACTACCTTCGTATGCACCTTCATCCTCTTCCCAATAAGCTTACCTCTGAATAGTTGGTTTTGGATACTTCTTCAAGTAACGTTTGTAGTCAGTACAAAGAACACCCAGATATCTCATGGTTGACATACTCCTGCGTAGTATTTCTGTGCTCCTGTTCGGAATTTCGCCTGCCGCTTGCTTTTGTTGTTCATTTTTCAGGTCTACCTAACTAGTCCTTCATCCATGTGGAGTCCTAGAAATCGCATCTGTCGGAGTGCACCGTGCCACCAAATCGATGACGAACACACAATCCGAGGTCGCGTTTGCACTACCCTTCTTACCCTCAAGAAATTTCGATGGCTCAGACAACAGCCGAATAATTCCTATTTCCGAAGCAGACTTTTTTCAGTATGATGAATAATTGTGTTGGTGTTTGTCTGCTTCATTCTTTGCTATCTGCGGAGCATTGACATCCTTTTGTTGACGCATCTTTTATGTGCCGGGAAAAATAGTGTCTATCGTATAGCTTGACATTGTGCACAACAGCCAGTTCACATTACCAAAATGATCAAACCTGTGAACTGGTTTGTTCTCATGTAACTTATGTTGTATGAAATATAGCATTATTGTTATTATGTATTTCTACTGCACAATCCACCCGGATGGACTGGTAATCAGACATTCTTTGTGGGTCGATTGAGGTAAAAGTCACTTGAGATTTAGGATGGCCTTACTCTATGCGTTTAGATGTCCTGGTGTGTTTTCAATAGCCCGGGAAGTATATATAGTGCCTAGGCGATTGATGGACTGATCATCTGTTGGGGGCTTATTAAGTGAAGAAAGGAAGATAGGTAATGAGCCTGCAGTACGTATTTCCTCGGGAAGGCTATTCCAGATGTGAGAGAACTTATCAAGGAAGAAGTTTCCTCGCAATTTGGTCTTACAACACACATTTTCGTCGAAAAGATTGTGATTACGTAAATAGTGAGTAGATGTTACAAATATTTTAATTTCCGGGCCATATGAGAGCACTTGCTTACGAAGTAATTTATGGTAAAATATAAGATTCATTCCAAGTCACCTCTTCCAGAGAGGTTCCAGCCCTAGCATGTTGCATCTTGAAATGTAGTCTAGGTTTTAGTTAGCTCCTAATGTTGAGGGTTTCGTGATGGTGTCTCACGTGCTAAAGGCAGAAGAGGATGTTAGGATGCTAACGGACACCCGACACCACAAGAGAATAGCCATGAAAGAGACTCTACGGGCCAGTCGTGAGGCCCACTTTAGAGGATGGAAAACCTGAAAACTTGGATCTGAGGATGTACACTACGGTTTCTCTACTAATACCGAGAATCTTACGGCAGTAATAATACAGGAGCCTCACATATGCCTAAAAATGATCTCAGCCCTAGACAAAGACGCAACAAAGTGGCTGTTCCATCCCCTCACATGGTAGCATCCACATTGAAACCATTCTAGGCGTACGAACAACGCTCACCATACACTGTCAACATGCATCCTGATGGGTAGCAGAGCGGAAACATGGGGAAAACAGTAAACAACGGAGATGGTCGTGAGATTAGTAGCGCCATGTGAAGACTCCCACACCCCATTTCGCTTATCCTACATCTCCACCAATGGAAAGTTATTGACAGGTAACATTACAGAACTTCTTGCTTCGGATAAGATCGATCATGTTGTTGTTGGCCTGCAGTATGTCTGTGAACATGACTAACCTGATCCATCAACGAGTACCGTTGCAACTTTGGAGGACTGAACATTTCATCGCTGGGTGACACTGGGACAGACAGACTGGGTGGCTTGATGTGCACCCTTTTCAGAGATTTATACTCGACAAAGAAATGTGTGCCATCAAGCAGACTGTCTCAATTTCAGCTCGGAAGTGCTTCAGTTTACCTAAGGTATGAGAAAGTCAATTCGTCAACTACTCGGGTTAAAGAGACACCATTAAGTCGAACACGAGCGGAATGTCAGCGGGCGCATACATACAAGAAACATGCGTGCGAGGACACTCAGGGCTGGCTGCTAACGGCCTAAATTTGGGCTCATAAACATATATGTCTCTCATCCGAAAGGCCCGTTTCGTCACGCTGCGGTGTTCCGGCTAGGGCAAGGCGGATTCCGTTAGTTGGTAGGATCAAACGCCCACACTGGTAGCGACTCTGAGGCAGCAGAGCTCCTAGCTGACCGATGTTTGCACGCCTTCTTTTACAACTGACCATCTATTTGGGAGTCTCTGAATATCTCACTAGAACTCTCGGTCGTTGTCTTAAAAGTTGAGGCAGTAAAGAGTAAATCGCCACAGCACTTGAAAAGCACCTCTCCAGGACAGGACAGAGTATGTGGTGCAGTTTTACAGGAAGCGCCATCAATTTCCGCTGAACCTTTAAACAAGTTGTTTTGGGATCTTCTGAGCCAGTCGAAAATGTCTGATCACTGGAAGCTGGACCACATAACGCCGATGTTGAAAAGAGGTAAACGAGTCAAATCGAAGAACTGCAGATCGGTGACTCACGTCCGCATTCGCTAAAGAAATGGGATCGTCAGTTTACGGCAGGCTGAGAGGTCTCATTGTGGAGAATAAATGCTTTACCCTCCTCCCCCACAACATGGGTTTAGAAAAGTGTAGTCTTACCTTACCGCATTGGGTAGATGGAACAGTATGTCGACCGTCGAGGCAGAAGTGATGTCGCTCGTCTACACTTTATTAGGTCACCTGATCACCTTATTCCCGACCGACTTAATGCTAAACTGAGGTTAATCGGGAACAAACTAGTATTCACCGAAAGTTATCCCCATATCTACGTGGCCGTTTACCTGTAGTTCCAGGCACTTTTTCTGTGCCTAGAGAAACTGAACGTCGAAGTGGAATCCCCCAGGGAGCAGTGCTGAGACCTATTCTTTTTTAGTGCGCGAAGATAGCTTGCCTCAACACGCCTCTTATGGAGTCCTTTCTTCGCTGACGAAGATGAAATATGAAGAGAAATCAGAAGTCAAGAAGACAATGGTTTCTTACAAGAAGAAGGTGTGCTGTTCACCGTGCAGAACTTGAAGTTTTAAGTGTAAAACAGGATGCATATCATATATACTAGCTCAGTGGCGAAGAACAGGGAGAATTTTGGTGCTATGGCCCCTCATGGCTTAAAATCCCACGCAAACCATGTCAGAAACTCACTTCGTAGAAAATAAGTATAGGCAAGTCGTCGGCGAATTTTTGAACAATTCGACCACATGTTTCAACCGAATTTTCGACGAGTACATACGACCTCACCTGGAATTCAGGACGAAACTCTCCTCTCCCTTCTACGGCATGACGAATTAGGCCTATGAGGCATACTATCGGCCATATTTTTTCGGAGAAAGCTGTAAGACATGCAGGACGACTTGTAGCGCTTGACCCGTATGCTCTGGAATACGGAAAACTAGGAGAGGATCCGATAATGACTAGGGATTTCTTCGATACCTCTGGACAACCGCCCCGCCACTTAATTGGCCCCAGTTGCAGCATCAGTCCCAGGGAATACGCAGAAACAGCCCAGAAAGTAGCAGGATGGATTACTGGGATAAATTCCACTCCGTGAGAATTGCTAAATCTTGGATTTCTTTTATTGTGGATGTGTTCTAGGCCACCTCACCTGAGTTCCCTAACCACCGACTGGACAAAACACAACGATATTGGCGGGAGGTCACTGAAACGAACTTGATTTTCGTATTTTAACCCGCCTTCCTTTTCTTCATATTTGTATATTTGATGACAACCAGAGGAACTGGTAGTTCACTGCTTCTAGACATGGGGGTCAGTCAAGCCCAAGCTTTTTGCTTCCGATTTCCTAGTATCTGAAAGCCTTTTGATTCTCAAGTCCACCCTTCTCATGAAAGAGTCTGCCACTGGGTTTATCTGAGAGGTGGTTAGACTACCACGTGAACATGCATGGGTTGCCGTAAACATAAGGCTCAACTGAGCTCACTTGCTACCCATATGCTTACTTGCCAATTAAGAGTCTTTCAAGCCTCTGGCTAACATGTTTTACACTTTCCTTTATTTTTAGTTTCATTGCACACTATCATATCCGTTTTGCCTTCTTATTCTTTCCCCATGATTACACTTAACCTATACACTGTTACCATTCTCCAGGAACAACTTTCTAGTATATTACATATTAATTATCCTACTACTCCCCTTCGGCATGCAGAAAAAGAGCAGAAAATATGAAGAACACTTGGTCAGCTCAATGCATTCCTTAACTTCCTAAATACAAACCCTCAGAGAATATGCTTCAACAGTGTTAAGTAACTAATACCGAGAACACTACATGCGAATCCCAGTTCAGTGACACTCAAAAAACAGTAAAATCCCTGCGGTAATAAAATGAGGGTTCAGAAAAAACTAACTTCGTTATGTTGTTGAAAGTCAAAAATAAATAAGAGACTTACCTATCTGCTACAGAAAAATATTTGAACCCAAGGACAAAACTTCAGACAAAAGCACACGAATTCAATGAAATTAGGTCTCCCTAACCCATAATATTGATGTCGATGTGAGTCATATTTTCATTTGTGAATATTGAACACTTGAACGAGGGTATGACCTTTTCAAGTGTGTACAGCCTAGTGACCTTGGTTTGTTTCGTATCTGATGAGTTATGGTTGGCACCGGGTATTCCGGATTGGAATTGTTTTAGTTTTTGTGTTCAGTTTAGTTGTTCAAGGGTACACAACTTGCTTCACAAGAAGCGACTCGAGTGCTGAATTATCTTTGGGTCCATCTGATGTTGTTATACATGAAGACTTACTGAAATTATGCCCAGGGAATACGTCTCATCTTTATGTGTCCGGTAGTAATGTTACAGGTTATCGTGTTTTATCCTTTGGATTTTTGAGGAATTCTGTCTTACCTGGACTTGAGCGGCTGCAGATTGATGTTGGTCACTTAAAAATATCACAGAAAGACTTTCGCAATAACATATCTTCTAACCTGAAATTCCTGTCGCTATCTAATTGTAGCTTGGAGTCCTTGCCAGCCTTCGGCATGCTTCATGGCTTAGAAAGTTTGAAAATAGTGGATCTAAGTCACAACAAATTACGCTGGTTACCTGTTGACATTTTCCATTATTCCAAAGATCTTCAATATCTAAACTTATCGCATAACTTTCTCAGCACCTTGCCAAATGTCCCATATCCATTTAAAGTATTTGTATCCAACAATCCGATCAGCTGTTCGTGTGTTAACGCAAGATTGTTATCTAAAGGATTTTTTGATGGTGTTCCAGTTTGCAAACGATGGCCACAGCCGTGTAAGCCAACCCTGGATACTTACTTATATGTAGACTCAAGTGAGCTAAGTATGACAAATTTTAGTGAAAATTCATCCATCTCTGTGTTCGCAGGGCAACAACTTTCGTTTGTGTGCAACGTAAATTCTGATCTACCATATGTACTTTTTTGGGTTTCACCTGTCGGTATTATTTCCCCACCCAATACTGAATCTGAAGTAAATGCATTTTCTCTTTCTTACGTTGTTCAGCCTATATTGGCTGCTACAGTTTTCAATATTGTACGAGTGACTGAAGCCACAAATGCATTGAATGTCGAAAATACTAGAGGGCATTTAAGTGGGAAATGGTCCTGCGTAGCTTACTCTTCTGAAGCAACGTCTCAGTCCTCATCCGTTGAATTGCGAGTGGTTTCTAGTTTGTACAATGCACAAATATATTATATTTCCCTCTGCTACGGATATGGTGGGATGATTTTATTATTGCTGGTTGGTATAATTGGTGGCACTATCAGATACTGTAGCGAAACCCATTGTCTCAGACGCCCACAACCGTCTTGTGCGTTCAAGGGGAAAACATACGTCGGCGTAATTCCAGTTCCTGAAATGAGTGACGAAGAAGGTTCGCTGAAGCATCACAATCCTGATAAGGTGTTAGAAATACCACTTGGGAATTCACCATTGCTGAATAAATACAGTAGTTATTTTGGCCCAAACAGTCGTTGGAACTGTGCTTCATGCAAAACAGTTCATTTCGTTGAGAAAATACAGGAAGTTGAAGATGCTGGTTTGCTTATTGCAGCTGGAGATGTACCTTTAGGTAGAATCGCTCCTGATGGCGAGATAATCATTATAGACACTGGTGATCCGGATATGGAAACTGATGCGTCAAACGGCAGTTTGCAGCCAATTTCAGAACAGTACAAGCATGAGTCCATCGAAACTCACCAACCACTAATGTGTGGTTCTGTTACTAATTCAGATACTCTTGACGTTCTTCTAAAAAGCACTGCTCAGCAGGTATGTAAATATGATGTTTGTGTGCGGTCGGGAAGGTGTGTGGTCAGAGTTCGACTCAACATAAATTATTCTGCTTCGTTCCGTTGTCCTAGCTATTTTGCTTCTTTTGATAATTCAACTTGTGCACCTTGTTTGCCTCGACCAGGCAGTGCCGATGTCAAGCTGGTTGTGTCCAACGAAAAGCTTGCACAAGAATATCGAGATGCTCTGGCCAGTTTAGCTCAGGCTGTTGAGAATCCCGATCCTGCACATTTTCGTGAAAAGCTTGATGACTTTCGAAGTAGGTTGTGTCGTGATGTCGGTCATGGAGTTAAGGTTCTACGTGGTGAATTTCAAGATTTAAGAGCCAAATCTGCCAAAAGTGTTGCATCTCTTCGTACTCAGAGCTCTGCTGCTGCACAACGCATGCGTGCGGGACTATTCTACGGGGTGGAACAAATGAAGGATGGTATGCGCAGTGTTGCTGAGCTTTGTGGAGCTTCAGGAACTATTGGTCAAACAATATCGGTTGTAAGTGTATATGTTGACGAGAAAGATCAGACTAAGAAAGAAAAACATATCTCTGATTTTGTATTTTAGTTTTGATTCCTTGTTTCTCTTTTTCTGTTCCTTGATTGCTCTACTCATTTCAAATAAAGTTTGTATATCTTGCGTAAATGTCTGTGTATTTGTAGGCTTAGTCATGTCACACTGGTAGATTTATAGTTTCTAGATTTACGTGTGTTGTCGGATTGAGGTAGGTAGTCGACTGTTTGATCCATACTGCTTAAATAAATGATAAGTGATCTTACACTGAGTTGTGTAAGCATATTGGATTAGTGTGATGTGAAGACTTGTGAATTGTGACCACTATTAACAGCTATAGTCATATATTTTCAGATGTAGATAATATCAGCATAGAGTTTGGGATGGCTGTGTAAGAGCGCAAGTTATCTTTCTTAGCTTTCGATAATGTAAGAAGGAAAAACGTACAAAAAACTTGGAGAAAATTACACTGACAAATAATAAGGCAATAATGCATCTGTGCAACTGTGATTGACGTAAAGCTATGTCATTTAATAATCTTTGATTGTTTGTTTCGGTTATAAGAAGAGTTTTTGGCTAGCAGAAAAGACTCGCGTGTTGCTTAAGGTGTAATGTTGTTTGACGTACCCCAGATAGCAGTGGGAATTTGCTTATGCGGCTCGTAGGATGTGATTTTTCGATCTTATATTTCCTTACTCTAGATAACTAAAATTCAGCATTGACTGAGAGTGCTACTTATCATCGACAAACATCTTGCCTCTGTGACATCATGGCAGACTCAACTGCATGGTTTATTTCATAGTGGTTTGCTTGTAAAGTTTTAAGTTTGGCTGCACTTAGTCCCAACAATCTCCAGTTGGTATTTCTGTAACGACAACGCCACCACGTGTCTGATATAGATTTTACCAGTCCTTCGTTTCGAAGTTTTTTCACTCCTAAATTAGTTTCAGTATATCTTGTTGTAGAGTTTATAGGCTTTTAACAATTTTTTGATCACCAATGTGTCAATGTTCTACAGCTTCACACTTGTAGATCATTTCAGCATGCTAGCTAAAGATATTCACTTTGGTGTTTTCCAGCTCATTTAGATTTAGTCAAGCAAATCACTTGTAACGAGGCAGACCTGTTGCTCATTGGTCCAGACACTCAACTTCCAACCACTGAGCTACGGGTTCGAACTCTGCCCGACCTACCAAAGTTGGGGCAGCTAGGTGATATTATCAGAATCAAAATCCACTCATCGACTTTGCGCACACTCGTACAGTAGGCACACCTGATGCGGGAGGGTTAATGATACTACCTGAATGCCCAGACTTTGTAAGTAGGTCGGTTTGAACCCGTGACCCACTGGTCAAAAATCAACTGGCTAGACCAGTAAAGTCGGTCACCAGAAAAATATGGCTCATTACCCAATGCATGAGTTTGTGTATGTTTACTGAGTTGTAACACGATTAGAGTGTCACTTAAGATTATCTAAACCTATACCTTGAGTCATCATATATGATTCTGGAGATCAGTGGTATGCAGTCGTTGTTTGAAACACTACTGAGTGCGACCCTTCATAGTTCCTGAAAGTTTGAGTGTAAACTCCGTATTTAACCAAGATCCTGCTAAAAATATAGCTCTCCTTATCGTTTTGTGACACCTCATTAACAGATCCGTCATAAAAATACCACTTTTCAAATTTGCTATAAATTCCTCAGAATAATCAATGAATACAGAATATTACCTATATTTTAGTTAGCGTTTTGCAGATCATGTTAAATAATGATGGTTATAGTCAATGTATCGTTAATTTCATGCATTTGTTACTGTCTTAAGTCTTATGGTTCTTCTAGGCTCCATGTAAATCTAAGATATTAGTCGATAAATACAGTTTTTGACAGGATTCATTCATCTTAACTGCAGCCCATGAAGATTGTGGGTAGGCATCTGCTAGTGTCACAACTCTTCCCAGTTCTTTCAGATCCATTCAATCTGATAGCATACAAATGGTTGTCGACTGGTATACAGTTGCGTCCACCGTTTACTCTACAGACGCGTGCTATAGCTATACCAGTAAGTTCGCGATAGCCAGCTGTTGAATCTTTGGACACTCGTAAAGTCAGTTTAGCAGATTCACTACATTTGCCACATTGAGCCAAATATATAACAACACTCGGGCCCTGTATATACCTCTCAGAAGCAGAGCATCCATCCGTGACTCGAGACTGTCATTATTATTATTATTTGACCTTTGGGTTCCTAATGGAACATGCGGCTTCGGTAGCACATCTCCAGTGCACTCTGTTCTCTGCAGTCTTTTGAACCTGGCTCCACGACTGCCCACAAGCTTTCATCTCCTTCTCGCACGATGTCCTCCATGTCACCCTCGCCTAGGACGCCCAACTCGTCGCTTTCCATCTGGGTTCCACTCGACGGCCTAACCTGGCGCGTGATGTCCCCAGTCGGCCTTCTCAGTGTATGCCCAATCCATCTCCACTTTCTTCTGCATATCTGTTGGGCAATAGGTTCTTGTTTGGTTCGTTGCCAGAGTTCCTTGTTGCTTATTCTTTCTGGCCATTTGATCTTCAGTATCGAGTGAGCGTAGGTGGCAGCTGTCGATGAATGTCTGTAGTTTGTTGGGAATGCCTTTCGTGACACGCCAAGTTTCTGAACCACATAGCAGCACTGACTTGACATTGGTGTTGAAAATTCGGATCTTGTTCTTTGTGCTGAGTGCAGTGGGTCCCCACACTGATTTCAGATTAATGAAGGCTTGTCTTGCTGTATTTCCGATCCTGGCTGGCTTTGACGTCCTCGTCTGTGCCGCCTGTAGTTGAAACGATGCTGCCTAGGTAGGTGAAAGAGACTACTTCCTTTAGGTTTCTCCCGTTGATGGTGATTGGTGCCTCTTGTTGTTGATGCTGTTGTTGGTTGGGTATCTTCATCACCTCTGTCTTCTCTACATGCACTTGAAGTCCCGTCTTCGCTACCGTGCCTCTTCTGTAAATTTGTTAGTTTTCGCCTGTAGATGTTCTAGTTTGTGCCACAAGACATTAGACAGAAATCATCGTCGGGGAAATCCATATCTTCTAGGGTCTTTTCATCGGTCAAACAGCGTATGCCCATCTTCTCGCTCCTCACGGTTTGCTGCATGATCCAGTCGACCACAATCAGGAAGATCATGGGTGATAGTAGGCGGGAACCTTGTCTTACTCCTGTCTTCACTTCAAAGGCGTCGCTGAGCTTTCCATTGTGAATCACTTGGCATGTGGCATCCTCATATAGCATATAGCTGTTGAATGAGGTTGATGAAGATTTGTGGCACTAACATCGTAGTGTTGAAGCAGCAGTTGTCAAATTACTTCTCGGTCGACGTTCTTGAAGGCCTTTTCAAAGTGGATGAAGTTGAGGTAAAGCTCCAGTTGACTGCCATTCTGTACTCTGTTCTATGATGATGCGTAGCGTTGTGTTGCAATTTGATCCACACATGATTTGTTCTTTCTGAAGCCAGTCAGCCTGTTCCGGTCGTAATTTTGAGTCCAGTGCATTGTTTAGTCTCTCCAGGATGATGCGGCATAATATTTGCTTGCTTTGGGTGGACAGGAGCATGATTCCACGCCAGTTCTTGCAAAGGCTTATGTCTCCCTTCTTTGGGAGTTTGACAAGATAGCCTTCCTTCCAATCGATAGGCAGGTACCTTTCCTTCTTTCCAAACCTTCTTCAGTAGTGATGTGAGCATGTCGTCTGTTGTCTCTGTGTCTGTTTTCAGTGCTTCTGGAGGACTTCCATCTGGTCCTGCTGCCTTCTCGGATTTCAGCAGTTTTATGGCATTCAGGACTTCTGCTTTTGTCGGAGGGTCTGTATTCACTTGTAGTTCTGCCGTTGCTGGTGGTATTTGTGGACGAGTTGCAGGTGGTGGTGGTTGTCGACTCTAGTTTTTTTGAAGTGGTCAGCCCATTGTTTCCTTTGTTTCTCCTCTTTGGTAACTAGATTTCCCTCACAATCTTTCATTGGTTTCGTCTGCGTTGATCTCTTCCTAGATCGTTAGTAACCTGATTATTTGATATAGTGTTGTCAGGTCTCTATATCTCCTACCTGCAGCCTGTTCTGCTCCACTTGCAAGTGTGTTGTAGAGGTGTCCTTTGTCTTTTCGTGCACTCTTCTTCACTTCTTTGTCCAGTGTAGTGTTTTATAGGTGGTGTTCAGTTCCTCTTTTCGTTGTTCATCCCTGCATTGCACTCCACCGGTTCATCTTCTGCCTCACCATCTTACTCTCACTACTCTATCAGCTTCCATGTGTCCGTCGAGATCCATTACTTGTCTTACTTCTTCTTCCTTCCTAACACGGTTATGCAGGTTTCCTTCCACGTCGCTTTCACAGAGTTCCAGTGTTCTCCCACGTGGGTTTCCTCGGGGATGTCACCCATTTTTTCCTGATGACTGATGTGAAGATGTCCTTTGTAGTTTCGTCCTTCAGTTCAGTTTCTGTTCTGGGTGTTGAACTTAAACTGTGGTCTATCATCAGCTTGCGTGAAGGCGATCAACTTGATTTTGAAGGCAGGTTCCTTGCACTAGATAGTGAGTGGTATGAATCTACCTACATCTGTTCCCCTTCTTGATCTTGTGTCCAGTGGGCTGTGTCACCACTTTCGCCAGATTAAAATGAAGTTGATCTGGTTTTTAGTGTGTCCATCTGGTGAAATCCATGTCGCTCGCTTTGTAAATATTCTTGTGTTTATACACCCTGCCTCCAATCATCAAGTCATTGAAGGTGCAGAAGTCTGCAAACAGTTCTCCATTCTCATTCATTTCACCTAGTGCTTCTCGACCCATGATGACTTCTCTTCCTGTGTTGTCCACTCCGAGTTTGACATTCATGTCGCCCATTGGAATTTTGATGTTTCCATCTGAAGTGGGGTCTTGTCCAGTACTGATTGCAGTTGTCTCTTCATCTGCATTATTTGTAGATGCATAGCGTAGCATTGTATGACTGTGACTTTCCTTCCTTTTGAGTTGAATCCTGCTGTCATTATCCTGCAGGAGGAGATTGATTCTCACTGCATGAGAGCCTTTGATGCTCTAGAAGGGGACATCATGATAGCCACTCCAGAACTCCGTGTGCTCGTGGTTGTCGTCCGAGTGACCGGCGTAGATTATTGACTCTCCAGTTAACAGTTTGGAGAGTCCACTTCCATTCCACCTACTTTCGCAGATTCCAAGCACTTTTATGCCATTCCTTCTCATCTCTGTGGCAATCTGGGCAGCCTCGCTAGGTGGATACATGGTGCTGACATTCCATGTCCCCATTCTTACTTTCGCTTTCATCGAGGGAGGGAAGACATATCGGTCGATTGGCTTCCCGAAGGCTTTCACCAACCCGAGTCATTTTGTCTCCCCGATTTCAGTGAGGAAT